CGTTCTGGTACTCTCTGCCTTCAGCCAAAATCCATCTGACGTCATCAGCACTGATATCCCTCATTCCATGTCCTCTTCAGAATCCTGCTTGATCCTCTACAAGTTCTCTGTCAATATATGGTTGCAGCTGTTCTTGTACTATCTTCAGTAAAACTTAAAATTCACATGGGCTATCAATGATATTGTTTAATGGTATCCGCATTCCATTGGGTCACGTCTCTTTAAAATGGACACAAATATAGAAACCTTGCAATCAGTTGGCCAGGTAGTTGTCGTCTAAATTTCTTGGCATGGGTGAGTGAGTGTCTTCAGTGCCACATCAGTTTGTTGAAAATTTTCATTTTGTATTCTGTCTATTCCCAGCGCCTTGTTCTTTGTCAATGACTTCAATACACCTTGGACTTCTTCCTTCAGGATCATTGGCTCTTGATCATATACTGCTTCTTGAAATGGTTGAGCATCAACCATTTCCTGTTGGTACAGTGACTCTGTGTATTCCTTCTATTTTTTTTTAAAATGCTTTATTATGAATTATGTGATAGTTTACATGGGAGAACATTAGTTTTACATTCATCCTATCATTGCCATTGCCATGGTTACAGTCCCCTCCATGCATCATCAACCAACCAAAGGGTATACACTACAAGACTGCCCCCCAGGTCGTCAGCACACAGCCCCTCTCCCTCTCTAGGTCTAAAGTCCCCAGCTGCTCCATCTCTCCATGTCATTGTCCCTGCCTCCATCTCAGGCATCACTGCTTCTCTGGGTGGGGGTCCCGCTCTTCGCTCTTCTCCCCTTTATTCCTTCTACTTTTGAGGCTTTCTGCATTATTCAACCTTTTGCCCATAGAATCCCTCAATAACGCAAGTCAAGTCTTGAATTTTCCTCAGTTCCCTAAGCTTGAGAAATGCTGAGACTGTTCTTCGCTTTCGGTTTTCTAAATACAGGTCTTTGCATATGTCATTATAGTATTTGACTTTGTCTTCTCGAGCTGTCCTTTGAAATTTTTTGCTCAGCTCTTTTACCTCCTCACTTCTTTGTACTTTAGCATCTCTATGCTGGAGAGGAAGTTTCAGAGTCTCTTCTGACATCCATTTTTGTCTTGATCTTTTACTTTCTTCCTGTATGATGTTCTTGATGTCATCCCCACAAGTCTTCCAATACTCTGTCTTTAGTGTCTGAGGCATCAGATCTGTTCTTCCGGTGATCTCTAAATTTAGGTGGGATATATTTAAGGTCATGGGCATATTTTAATTTTCTTCTGCTTCAATCTGAATTTGTATGTGAGCAATTGATGGTTTGTTCCACAGTATGCTCCTGGCCTTGCTTTGTCTAATGATATAGAGCTTTTCCACTGTCTTTTTCCACAGATGTAGTCAATTTGATTTCTGTGTATTCCATCTGATGAGGTCCATGTGTATAGTTGTCCTTTATGTTGTTTAAAAAAGGTATTTGCAATGAAGACGTCATTAACCTTGCAAAATTATCTCATACAATCTCCAGCATCATTTCTGTTACCAAGGTCATATTTTCCAACTACTGATCCATCATCTTTGTTTCCAACTTTTGCATTCCAATTG